GGGAAACCTCATGCTTTTTTCTACTTTAGAAGTCAACATCTGTAGAAAGGTCCTGAACTTCTAGCAGTATGGCATATGTGACACTGTTTGTTGGTTAGACTGATAGTAAAAATCTCTCTAGTAATTCAACAGTTCACACCATACTGAAATATAGGAAACGGAACATTACATAAATTTTGCTGTGGATTGATTCCAATAAAATCAGTTTTAAAAATAATTTTGTCAGTCTTAATATGTTTTTTTCAAATTGGTTCCCTGGGAGGCTCCAACTTCCAACAAGGGGCCGTCTGTAAAGTATGTTTACATGAAGGGGGAGGGGGGTTGGTGCTGTTGCGTACACCATGCAAGGTGGGTGGGAGGTGGGTTCAAGGCAGTGCAAACCGCCTTGCAGTGCATGTTGAAAATACAAAATAATACGTGTTCTTAACTGCCATATATTACTTCAAAAACTAAACGGTGCCTTGAGCTAATTGTTGTATTGTAACTGTATTTGCGATCATAATACCTGAAGGCTGAATGAACTTTCAGAAAAGAGCAATGTGAGGCCTTGCAGCCTTGGTTTTCTTTCATTTAATTTATTATATTTCGTTTTATATGCTTTTAGTTTCCTTTCACTAAATTTTATGACAACAGGTCCTTTAATAAGACGGGTTCTCAACTTCTGAAATTTAAAGTTGTCACTTCAACAATATCAAACGGCTAAACTTGATTAATACTACCGTTTAAAATATCCATAATGATACCAAGCATTTTTTAAATAGGTCCCTCATGGAGTTCAGGTCCCGGAACATCAACATAGCCTGCATGCCCCCATATGTATAAAAACGTTACTCAAAATATCTTTATAAAGTAACCATGGACATGAAATTATGCCTTTTGACTGAACAAAACATTAACATATTTTCCATAGGACATTCAACAACTGAGCCAACAAGAAGGAGCACAACTGTAAGCACGACCCTGAGGACCACAATTCCCTGGACATCTACAACTCAAGGTAATAAACCTTCTAACATAATTGTTCCTTAAATGTCAACTTGTATCTCTAACAACATTGCAAACTTCAAAATAAAGATCCTAGGGATAAATCTGAGGTATGCTCTTCATTACAGGATACTGCCAAGAATACCTCGATGGGGCAGCCGGACTTACGAACAAGTTTATTACTGGCGGTTCCCTTCAGAGAGACAACACGACAGGGTTCTTGACAATCAGGAACTTACCTGTTGACATTCAGGCCACTGAACTTCCCAGACTGTACAATACATTTTCCAGTCGCACAATCATCCGAGGAATCAGCATTCAGTTACAATCACCGACATTCCCACAGTCAAGTTCAGACAACAAGCTGGATGTGTCTCTGATTTTGTCCACGAAGAAGGCCAGGGATGAGGACTTTGTTGCTGTGAAAAATCCTGCCACTGATGAGGCAAAGGTAACAGCAGTTCCTCTGCTTTGTCTCCTCTCAAAAACTTAACAAAGAATCCTCTTACTCTGAAATCACTATTTGTTACAAAATTTGGCTTTAGCATTGGGAAAATAAACTGTTTAAAGTTGTAGTATCCACTAGAAATAATGCATGCAAGGTATGGTAGACAGCTGGTATGTTTTAAAGGACATATACAGTATTGCTAGCCATGGATTTCAATTTCATTCATTCATTTTTTCAGCAGGTTTTCACGGTTGCAGTCAATGACAAACGCAGCACACTGATCAATCTACCAAGTGACAGTGAAGCTCTGGAGGGTGTTACAGAATTACTAATAGAGATCAAACAAGTCAGCGATGTTGAATCTGTCACCCTTGAATTACATGTTTATGGGTGCATTGAAGGTAATCTGATCTCAATGAAAATGTGAAAAAACAGCATATATGTTGACACCACAGTTAGTGTGACGTGAGAATTTGCAATTAAAATATAATGTCTAACTCTGCCTTTTTATATGAAAAGCTAAAACAACAACAAAGGTAATGACTTCAAGTACTATGGTATCATCACCATCTACAACAACCGAAGAAGTTACAACAGCTACAGAGTCAACAACTGCCACAAGAAGAACAAAAGAAGAGATCACCACCTCCAAAAAGACAACACCTCACACATCTTCAACACAAGGTTTGTATCTTTGACTTCCTGTAAAATGTTGCAGCAATATTAAAATGCACCATAGGTTGAATACGATTCTTGTAAAGGATAGTATGTTAATCTATTTTATTTCTTTTTATTTTTGTGTGGATCACAGAAGCTGGAACAGGGGAGATTGTGACAACAACTACATCAGTTACCACGCCAACATCAACATCAGAAGAATCAACATCAAGCGTTGTCATAACTTCTCCAGAACATGTAACAACAATTCAGACAACAGTACTGACTACAACTGCAAGTGTGTCCAAAGGTGATTTGTTCAGTGAATTAACTTTCTTTTAAAAAAAAATTGAAAACGCCAAAGACCAATACCCTAAAATTGAACTTGTTACTTAGGTCAATGAGTAACAACCTTGTGTTTGTAGGTGCACAGTTCCATTTTATTTAAAGTTTGGTCCATTCATTTTATCATACCTTTCAAATCAAATTTTCTCTTTTAATTTTGCACAGCAACTGAAGGCAAAGAAATTTCAGCAACCCAAACACTGAGACGTGAGTATTGTCAGCTTACAACATGGCATATAGCAGCCTAATCTGAACAAATATTTTGGCTACAATTAACTTACACAGGCAGTTTAAATGACACATCGAAAGACATATGACTCATATAATGACATGAAATTATCCCCTTGCTTGCTCTCTCCTACCCTTACAGCAACAACTAGCATGATACCACCATCAGAGCAGCCACAGATTTCCACCACTACTCCTGAGGTCAAGACAACAACACCAGGTAACACTTTCAATTAGGTCTGAAGGAAATACGCCCAAAAATTCTCATGTACTCCATATGTTTTCAAGTTCAAATGCAAAACAATGTGTACTTTTTACCAAAAGTCAAAGCTTCACTGATATTCACTTTCCAGGTGAATGCAGTGAGGATGTAAACAAAATCAGCAACCTTGAAGTTGAGTGGCTGACATCCAGCGGTGAAATTATAAATTCAGAATCAAACTGGGAAATCGATTCCCTACCTGAAAAACGTCCGATCTCAGCAGAGGATGCAAACGACTTACAGTCTTTGGAAGTTAAATTCTCCTCGTCTGTCCGGCTAATGAGCATTGCAGTTAGCGATCAAAAGGACAAAAAGTCAAACATCGACTTTGCCTTGAAAGTGAAAGCCACCCCAGCCTCAGTTGCAGAATTTCTGCTGGATGGTGAAAATCTGCAGATCTTTACTGCTCAAAGTACCAATAAACTTGACCTGCCAGAATTGCCAGGAGTAAGAAAAATCGAAATAGTGCCCATCAAAATCAACAGCAGCAGAAACGGTGGATACAGCCTTCAAGTTGAACTGTACGGATGTGCCGAAATAGGTAATATGGCTTGTTCTAAACATTGGTAGTTTTCAGGAATACAGACATTTTGAAGGTCTTTCCATATCTAACAATGTTTAAGGATATGAATTCACTAAATAATTCCTGAAAATAACTTGTCTTTTGTTTTCAGTGACAACAACTGTAACTGCGATAACATCAACAACGCCCTCAATAACGGAGGAAGCAATTAAAATTACAACAGTTACTGCAACACCTACAGAAACAACCACTAAACAGACAACAATTACCCAGGCAAAAAGTACAACAGGTTTGGACACCACCATTAATATTTTAAGATTTTACTGGAAACAAAAACTTGTAAATTTGACATTTTTATCAACTTTTTAAAAACTCTTTGCTCAATGTTCCTCTATAGTGCTTCAACTATCAAATGTAATTGGCTTACAAATACTAGAAGATGTCACATGAATGGTTGAAGTGCATGTTATGATATATTTACAGCAAATAGCTGTGTCAGACAAGTAACCAAAACAATCAATTTAAGACTGATACTAATGTTTCACTGACTCTAATATAAGGCAAAACAATGGTTTAAAAATAACGACAGAGGTTGTGATATCACAAGTCTATGTAGAAATGTGCTTGATGCTTTGAATTCAGCACTTCTAGTCGTGCTATTAAGACTAGAAATGGATGTAAAATTTCAGTGTTTATCCTTAACAATGACATTATGACCATTAGCAGTACATTCTTTTTAATAGCTTTGGGAAAGTAATGGTTTTTCAATTAGACTTCTTCTTTTTCTGCATAATGGCAGAGCTTGGAAGTTCCACTTTGCTAGCAAGTACAACATTGCCAACCACAGCTCCACTTGTAAGTACAACTGCACATCTGACAACATTGCCAACATCGGAATCTCGGCATACTACAGGAATGAGTACAGTATTCCAAGCTACTCCACTTGCAGTGACTAGCACACTGTTGAGTACATTACCAACTACTCAACTTCCAAACACCATCACGACTGTAGCATTGCCAACGACTACTCCACTTCCAAGTAAAAGACTGAGTACAATATTGACAACATCTACTGTACTTCCAAGTACAAGGATGAGTACCACACTGCCAACGACTACTCCACTTGCAAGTACAAGGATGAGTACGACACTGCCAACGACTACTCCACTTGCAAGTACAAGGATGAGTACAACACTGCCAATGACTACTCCACTTGCAAGTACAAGGATGAGTACCATACTGCCAACAACTACTCCACTTGCAAGTACAAGGATGAGTACGACACTGCCAACGACTACTCCACTTGCAAGTACAAGGATGAGTACAACACTGCCAATGACTACTCCACTTGCAAGTACAAGGATGAGTACAATGACTACTCCACTTGCAAGTACAAGGATGAGTACGACACTTCCAACGACTACTCCACTTGCAAGTACAAGGATGAGTACAACACTGCCAATGACTACTCCACTTGCAAGTACAAGGATGAGTACAATGACTACTCCACTTGCAAGTACAAGGATGAGTACCATACTGCCAACGACTACTCCACTTGCAAGTACAAGGATGAGTACGACACTGCCAACAACTACTCCACTTGCAAGTACAAGGATGAGTACCATACTGCCAACAACTACTCCACTTGC